ACCCAGTATTACATTGCTATTATTTTTTTGTTAGGTCATTATCATAGCAGATTTAAATATAGAAAATAAGCCTAACATACTTATTCCTGTAGTTAACATTTTTGGACCTATTTGTTCTTTTGTGTAGCTCTGTATTTATGTCTGCTGTCATTTTCCTTTGGATTAAAGAACTTTTTGTTTTTAAGAATGTGTAGTGTGGATCTCCTGGTGATGAATACTTTCAGCTCTTGCAGGCCTGGAAAAGTCTTTATTTTGCCTTCATTTTGAAAGTTACAATTGCTAGGTATAGAAGTCTAGCCTACTTTACAGATGTTCTCTTCTTTTTTGGTGGTGCTGGAGACCAAAGCCACAGTTTCCCATATGTTAGGCAAGCACTCGACCACTGAACTATACTTTCAGCCCTACCTGTTCTTTTTTCCCTTAAAGACTTAAAAATGTGAGTCAGGTTCTGGTGGCTCACACATGTAATCCTAGCTACTTGGGAGGCTGAGATCTGAGGATCTCAGTTTGAGGCCAGTCTGGGCAAACAGTTTGTGAGACCCCATCTCCAAAATAACGAGAGCAAGATGGACTGGAGGCGTGGCTCAAGCAGTACAGCACCTGCTTTGCAAGTGTGAAGCCCTGAGTTCAAACCCCAGAGTTCAAACCCCAGTCCACTTTAAACCCATCATTTTCTTGCTCATTGTCTCCAAGACATCTTCTTTTACCCTTATTTCATTTATTTATTTTGCAGTGCTGGGTCTCCAACCCAGAGCATTGCCTGCCAGGACAGTGCTCTATCACTGATTTCACTCTTATGAATTTCTTATTTTTCATGTCCATGTTATCCTTATTTTTGTTCCCAGTACAGAAAGCATTTCTTTTTTCTGTCTGTCTGGTTTTGCGCAGTTTGCTTGCAATATGACGGGTATAGTTGCTAAAATGCTTCCTGTGCATGGAGTTCATGATACTTATTGGATCAATGTATTTATAATTTTTATCAAAATTGGAAAATTTTTAGCCATCATTTCTTCAAATACTTTTCCTGTCCTCTAATTTTAATATATTGGGTCCTTTGAAACTGTCTCATAGCTCATTAATGCTTCAAGACTTTTTCTTTTCTTCTTTTTTTTAAAAAGAATTGGTGTTGGGAATGGAACCGAGGGCCTTGCTCATGCTAGGCAAGTGCTCTACCATTGAGCTATACCCACGACCCTTAAGTTTCTGATGCTAAATTCACTAATCTTTTCTTTTGCAATGTTCAATCCAGTGTATCTTTCATCCTATACATTAGGATGTTTCACTTCTTGAAGAATAGTTTGAGACTTTTATAAAATACCGCCCATGTCTCGACTTCTTGAGCACATGAAACACTGTTGTGATATGTGTGCTGCCATCCTTATCTGCTAACCTGTATCAGTTCTGGTCTGTTTCAATCTCTTTTTGTCCTCATCATGGATTGGATTTTCCTGCCTCTTTGTATATTTGGCAATCTATAATTGGCTGCCAGATGTGTGAGTTTCACCTTTTTGGTGCTAAATCTTTTTGGAATCTTATAAATATCCCTATGTTTTGTTCTGTTATATAGTTAAGTTATCTGGAAACAGTTTGATCCTTTTGGATTTTGCTTTCTGGATTTATGAGGCAGGGCTTGACGTAGGGTTGCCTTCTGACGCAAGGCCCCTCTCTGTCCCAATCAATGTCCGTGAATGATCAGTCTGACTGCTGGGAATAGCTGGTTAACTAACATCCAGCTGAGACTTGGAAGGGACTCTCTGTAGGTCTCCAGAGTTCTCTGCTTGTATAGCTGTCTTCTCTCTGGTCCTCTATCTTGGGAAGTCTAGCTGCCTTGGTCTCCCTTGTCTCCACCACTTCTGGGTCTCCCTAGAAACTCTTTCAAGGCAGGAGTCCACGCAAAATCAGAGGGCTCAACCTCATTTATTAATCATGCCTGTTCCTTGCTGTCTAATATCAATGTCTTGAAAATTGTTGTCTTATGTATTTTGTCCATTTTTTATTTGCTTTAAGCACAAGGGTATGCCTTGTCCCTGTCTCCCTGTCTTGGGCAGAAGTGGCACGCATCATAAACAGCTTCTAAGACATGGCCAGATGACATAGCTACCCTTGGGAATCAACAAAGCTTGAGAGGACTGGGAGAGCATAATTCTGCTGGCCATAAAACACCTGAGGCTATTCTTGGAAATCCTTTGCATATTTCCACCTTGAAACTTCCATGGTGTCCATTTTAATGGAATTTCACCTGAACAAAAATATGTGCGTGGAAAGAGTACATGCAGCTTTTGCTTGTTACCCTGGGCCTCCTCTGGTGACAGTCTTCAGGATGCATGCCCTGCTGCTCCCTCTCATCTCCAGGGGACACCACCACCCACACAGACTTAGGTTTGAGGCTCTCAGCAGCTACAGACGTGGTACTGGTGGGCTTACTATTAGGTGGGAGCCATGGGCACTACAGTCCATGTATCCTTGTGAGGAATGTCTCACAAGCTAAGAGAAACCAGACCACAGAAACATCTACTGTGTGTTCTGTGCTGTTTCAGAAGAGCCTGTATCTCTAGGACTCTCATGCAGCTCTGTCACACTTGGGTCACCAGTCCATCTCTCAGTCTAGAGACTTCTCATTCTTATGGTTGGTGAATCAGGTAAGAGGCAACCACATATATTTTGGTGTGGAGTACAGTCCATTGTACCCTCCTCATCTCAGATTATCATCCTGGTTTGGCAATAACCCAGATGTAATTATCATCCTATTAACTTAATGTCAGTATCCAACAAAAGATGTGGAGAGATAACTTGGCCTCAATTAGGAGTTCTAGTTCACCAGCTATATTCATTTGAATTCCAAATAGACATTAATATGTACAGACCAAATGGAGTTGACATGGTTGTGAGATGTCCATATGAGAAATCTGTTTGTTTTCAGGAACATGCAATTTTTTTTCTTTATAGGCAATTTTTCTTTATGTCTATTCCATAGACTTGGAGTAGTTCCCTCCTGTGCAGGAGAAGCTAACTGACCTTTTTTTTTTTTTTTTTATGGCTGTACTCATGGCCTTCTGCTTGCTATGCAGGCATGCTGCCATTTGAGCCACTCAGCTATTTTTGCTTTACTTATTTTTTGAATAGGGTCTCCAGTTTTTCCCAGGGTGGACCTGGACTGTGATCTTCCCATTTATGCTTCTTGAGTAGCTGGGATAACAGGTGCATGCTGCCACACCCAGCTTTTTATTGGTTGAGATGGGGGGGGTCTCACAAACTTTTTGCCCTGGCTAGCTTTGAACTACAATTCTATGGATTTCTGCCTCCCAAGTAACTGGGATTACAGAAATAAACCACTGCACCCGGCCTAACTGGTCTTTTGACCTGATCCTTTAACCTTCCCCGCCAGAAAGGGACCTACTTCATTAACACCATTTGCTTTTCTCTCATTGTTATCCTGAGTCCCTGTGGCTTCAAAGGGAGACCCAGAGAAGCAGAGAAATGAGGTAAAGCAAGGTGACAGTAGGAACAATGCACAGATCTGGGCTGGCATGTGGCTCTGCCCAGAGACAGTCAGAGATAGGCCAGGAGGTGTTGTCTCCCCAGCTCTACACCTTAGATCCTGTCTGTTCCTTCTTACCAGACCAGAAGGGCACTAGAAGTGAGACAGCTTTTTGGAACAGGGATGAGGCTGGGAAAGCATACAGAAGCCAATATTGGTGACTAGAAAGGAAAAAGGGACCAAGCGAGGCATCTATTTGTAGTATGTGCTCTGGCTGAGACAGAGGCATGCAGGGCCCAGGCCCATCAGGAGACCTGCTGTGGAGGCACTGCAGAGGGCCTCTTGAGGGTGAACAGAGCAGCCAGGAAGTATGGATGCATTTGATTCGGGACCATCTAAAATCACCAAAGCAGGGAGAGGACTCCTCTGAAAACTTAGGTAGATCATATCATTCTTTTGCTCAAAACCCACTGAACAAAATCCATCATCCTTATGATGGTCTCTAGGGCTGGCCTCAGCTGTCCCTCAGGCCTCTTCTCTGTTCCCTTTCTTACTCCTCCTGCTTCAGCTCCTCTGCCCCTCACTATTCTGTAAATGCACAGGCACAGTGCCCTTCTGGAATCTTCTTTCTCGGTTGTCTATGCATGGCTCACTTTCTCATATCTTTGTTCAAAGCAACCACCCCATCACACTGTTTAATTCTGTAGCTCCCTCATGCTCGTCTATTTCCCTACACCACATTTAGTGGCCTGCTAGTGCATTTATGGTTCCTTCACATATTATGCTATTGGCTCTCCTGACAAGAGGGGAGTTCCACAAAGGCAGTTTTGTCTCACTCTCTTGTCTATTTAAGAACTGATGTGGAAAAAGACACTGGTATCCCATGACCAAGTGCAGTGGTTCACACCTGTAATCCTAGCTATCTGGGAAGCTGAGATCAGAAGGATTGAAGTTTTATGCCAGACTGAGCAAATAGTTCACATGACCCCATCTCCAAATTCATGGATGGGATGAATTCAAGTATGATATATTGCAAGAACTTTTGTAAATGCCACAATGTACCCCCCACTCAGCACAACAATAAAAAAAATTACAGAGCAAAAATGGACAGGAGGTGCGGTTCAAGCAGTAGAGCGCCTGTTTTGCAAGTGCGAAGCCCTGAGTACAAATCTAAGTTTCACCATAAATAAATAAATAAATAAACTGACTTATCCCCCTGCCTAGAACAGTGCCTGGCATGGCATGTAGCATATGTTTGAAAAATACTTGCCAAATGGGCCAACCCACTGCAACACAGCCCTGGTTACCAGACACAGGGCACACAGAAAACCCAATGACTCAAATGCACAGGCACAGTGGTCTCTAGGCCTGACTGTAGCCAGGAGTTCTGTGGCCAATGGAGACTTTCCTTATCAAGACTCAAGGAGTTCTAATGACCTGCTAGTACCATAGGTACCTAATTTGGGCACAAAATGAAAATCTTGGGGGATGTAACTTGATCGAAAATGGGCAGGAATATTAAGATGTCCATAGACAGGGACCAATGTTTGGTGGGTTAGATTTCCCAGTGTTTGTAGAATGTCTCAGTTGCTCCCTTTATCCCTTGGTTAAGGGGTGCTAGCCTACTTAGGAGCCCTGCAATGTTCCAACCAGGTCCCCTGGGGAGCACCTGCGACCCCTGAGGGTGTGAACCTGCAGGGTGAGCGGAGCACACAGTCAGCAGCCATTACAAAGTGACACAGACAACATGCCGTGCACACACACACACACAGATGCCCATGGGACAGCTATGAGACATGTGGGGGTGGGGCTGGGAGTCGGTGACATGCATCTGTGGAGGTTGACAGCTCTCATACACCTGGCTAGGAGGAGACAGAAAGTGCAAAAGAATGAGCGAACCAGAGGTCAGAATGAGGTCAGAGGAGAAGGAGAAAGGTGACAGGATATGATCAACAGGTGAGCCCCGTGATTGGTGGTGCTAGGTGACATGTTTCAGGAGACACACAATGTGGGAGAGAGAACGGGAGAGGTTCGGCATGCACGGCCCCCACCTGGCAGATGGAATCCCTGTGCCCAGCCCGGCCTTGAACTCACCCATAGCCATTCTCTGGACCCCTATGGCACCATAAGCTGAGACTCAGATGCCCACATGGTCAGTGTGTGTGTGTGGCTAGGGATGGCCCTGACAACTAGGAGCTTGAGGACTTTCGGTTCTCCACACAGCTGTCCAGGTTGGCGTGTTGGCCACCAGAGAAAGATATTTCACACAGTGAATTTTTTTCCGGGTCTTGTAAGGAATCTCAGGAGCCCAACCCAGCTGGCTGGTTTAAAGACGAGGAGATGGCTGAGCTGAGTGGGAGGGAGGCAATGGGCAGAAAGGGACAGGACCCGTGGTAGGCTGAGGTGGAAATGTCCACTGACTTGGGAGAGGGTAGATAAAGGGGAAGGCATGGGGATCCCAGGTTCTACTCCTCATGCCAGTAGCCACTGCCTCACATGGACAGTCCTTAGATGCAGCCAAGAAGCTTCTGACAAAGGTTGGGGCCTCCTGGGTTTCCTCTCCTTGGGCTGAGTCATCCTGCCATGTGGAACCACACCAAAAAGAGTGAGGGGAACCAGGTGAGAAGAAAGGGGTGGGGAGGAGAGTGAGAGGAGAGACAGAAGGAGAGACAGGCAAGGAAGGAGAGAGAGAAGGAGAGAGACTGGGCTCAAGTAAGAGGAAACCTTTTGGCTTCCAGACATGGCCTTAGAGGGATTTTCAAACACCATCCAGGGAATCCAACATTAGACCTTAGGCCAGAACCTCCTTGGCCTTTGCTTCCAACTATTGCACATTCACCGATAGGAACATGGATGTCCCAGAGACGGCCCATGCCTTTGAAGAGTGACAGAGAAAGTTGGGAGACTGCAGAGGTAAGGGTCTAGCCAGCTGCTTCTCAAGCTCTTTCCCACCACACCAGGTGCTGCTGGGACTCTGGGGATGGAGGTCCCGGGAGTAGTTCTACATATGCACACAGAGGCAGGTGTGTGAGGAGAGTCGCCCACCTGCAGTGTGTGCCACCTGTCTCCCTTGCTGGCCTCTGCTCTCCCCAACAGGAGCAGCTCATTGTTGATAAGCCAAACCTCCCACCCCTGGAAGGGAGGGATGGTTTAAACGGATGAAGTGTCATGGGAAGAAGCTTCAGCCCTGGTGCCTAGAAGGTGGGGCCCAGCTCAGCCGTGCCTGGTCTTCCAGAAGACACTCACCATTCATCTGTGAGGGTGACAGTGAGTAGTCTCGGCCTGCATGCCGCCGCTCTGGCTTCAGGTTACGGCTCTGTCGGCCAGAGCCCTCAAGCATGTTCACGATCTCACCCCGGTCAATATTTCTCAGAGCCTCGTACAGGTTCTCCACTGTGGGGGGAAGAAAAAAAGGGGCACTTGAGAAGAGAATTCAAATGATTCTAGAGTAGCAGGGACTGCTGTGCAGGCCTGAAAAATGGGCCAGGAGGAAGACTGGAGAAGGGAGGTGACTGGGTTTTTTCAGAAGGTAGAGCATCCTTTTTTTGTCAGAATCAAACCAAAATGCCTTTCTCAAGATTTTTTTTATGCTATGATAGATCTTTTCCAAAAACTAACAGTGGCCTTTTGTGTCTGTGTGTGGGGGGGAGTGGGAATTACAACCTTGGTCTCACATATGCCAGACAAGTGTCAACTGTCTTGGAGTGGCCAGTTGAAAGCAGAGAAAGACGTTTATTTTGATTTTTGGTAATCTAAGAGGAATGTTAGGAGGAAAATAGGGGTGTGAATGACTGGATCTGTCCTTTGGAAATTCGGGGTCCTTGCTAGTTGATCTGAGATGCAAATGTAAACATTCAATTTCCTCTTAGTGCTGTTGAAGAGAGGAATTTGGTGAAGGTGAAGAGAGAGGGACAAAAATTTTTCCTCCAGCAGGATGGGTGACTTAAGCCTGTCATCCTACTTACTTGGGAGGTGGAGATCGGGAAGCTCATGGTTCAAGGCCAGCCCAGGCAAAGACAGTTTGTGAGACCTCATCTCAACCAATGGCTGGCAGGTTGCAGGCACCTGTCACTCCAAGTACATGGAGAAGCACAAATAGGATCACAGACCAGGTCAGCCTGGACATAATGTGAGACCCTACCTCAAAAATAACCAATTCCCCAAAAAAGGACTAGAGGCATAGCTCAAGTGGTAGAGTGCTGTCTACCAAGTGCAAGGCCCTGAGTTCAAACCCTAGTACTAGAAAAAAAAATCTTCCTTCCAGGCTGTAGAAAGATGTTTTTGGGAGAATGAGAATGATTGTGCACTGGGGTTTGACACCTTTTCCCCAACTCTTCCCTAGAGATGATAGCCAACACTCATCTCACTGAGAAATTTAATAGGAAGACTTTGAAAATGACCATCTTATGCTATCACAAATTTTATCTTACTGCAAGAATAGTAGAAAGACTGAGGCCAAGGTTTGCTGGTAATGTGTTCTGGTGTAGGGTTGCCTTGAAGAGCCATGGGCTCGCCCACCATGTTGGGTGTATAGGTGTGTGCATACATGTGTGTGTGTGTGTGTGTGTGTGTGTGTGTGCGCGTGTGTGCGGGGGCAGTGAAAGAGAAAGAGATTTCGTCCAAAGGGCAACATCAGGAATGGAATCAGAAGGAAGAAGTCCTTTGGTGAGGAACAGGTCTAGCGAGGCATTGTGGTGAACAGTACTGACTCTTTGCGTTTTCCCCTTCACGGGAAATCCAGAGGGTCAATAAGGCTGAGCTCTGCTCCAACAAGGAGTTAGGGTTTTCCACACGGATCCTGTTGATGTCTTCCACACTGAACTGCAGTTCCCGGGCCAACTCTGCAGACAGAATCGAGAGCAGCTGTGAGCTCAAAGCACAGCCTCCGTTATCTCGTTTCAAGGAAAGACCTAGTGACATGTAAGCAGCTACCCTTTTGAGTCACCAGCAAATGGGGAGGGGAACAGGTGCTGAATGGATGACTGAATAAATGAACAAACAAATGCCCCTTCCTTCTTTGCATGGCTTCAAACAGGAGATGGAGAGAACAAGCCTCTTAGTTACTTCTCCAAGGTCACAGGACAAGCCAGCTTCCAAGCCAAGCCGGGAAGGACCTGCAACCACTGGTGCCTTGCAGCACACCTTGTGGCCCAGAAGGCACTGACTCCTCCAGGAATCAGTGAACAGAGCAGCAACCCTGTGGTTACACATCTTCAAGGAAAGGTGGTGCTCCTATTTAAAATGAAAACACGCTTCTACCTAAAAGCAAGGCAGTACACTGGACAGTAATGCCTGCACAGGTGTTTAGAAGGGAGATGTGCCCATAGTGTGATTTCAATGATGAGGAAGACTGGGGAGAGGTGATAAGGCCCACACAACACTGCATGCACATATGTGTGTACACACATGAACACGTGCACGGTGCACAGATGTATGCACATTCATCAACATAGACACACACGCACAAATATATGTGCACATGCATGTGCACACCCCCTGAAGAAGCAAGAGTAGGTGTGGTTTAAAGAATAAACGTGGGCATTCCCATCCTGGCACCTTTCAGCAAGTGATCACTCAGCTTTCTGAGTTTGTCTAAAGCACTGTGCAGGGTGAGTGAATGCAAGGTCCATTCATACAAAGACCAACAATAAAAAAAGGAAAAAAGAGAGAGAGGGACAGAAAGCCAAGTTATAGGGCCTTTGCTGTGAAAACCACACCTTGGCACTTTCTCCTTATCCCCTGTCCCCCTTCAAGTCAGGCCAGCCCTGTGGTTGGCAGGAGTCCCACAGGCTCAGCTATGGCCAGGGTGATAAATGAAACATCTTGAGACCTGTCTTTTCCTCAAAAAACCACCTTTGAAGAAAGGTGATGCTTTAAGGAGAGGAGGCAGGAGACACGTTGTTTGTGAATTTATTTGTTTGATTTTCTGGGTCCTGTCATTAGCTACACAACCAAGTCATTCTATTAAGCTGGATCCCAGTTTTTCTGTCTAGTAAGACAAGGTCAGTCCTGAGGTGTAATGTCAAGAGTCAGTTTTTTTTTTTTTTTGCTACAGTGGAAAACCAGACAGAAATGGAGGAGGAAAGCTCACTGCTTTCCATCCGCACCTGTGAGTGTTTCTGGGAAAAAGGATGTATCTGAGACAATCAAAGCTCAGATGAAAAGTGGACAATGGAGAGAGGGTTAGAAAGGTTGCCCTAGCTTACCATGGGGAAGGGACGTAGGGTAAGGGAGACAAAGTGTTTTTCTGCTCCAAGTTCCCTGCTCACCTGCCCAGCTGAGGCCCAGGTGCTCTGTTATAACAGCCATCTTCATGTCTGCTCGGTCATGAAAACCTGGAGTGGCACATTGGATTTCAGTCAGCAACTTGAGCAGGACACAGCACTGACAGGCATGAATAAGTGGCCTCTAATGGATAGACATGCAGGTCACACAGGGGACCTTAGAGTACACTGACTGCTGCTTCTGTAAGGCCCAGGTGGAGGGAGACTCAAGGCCAGGTTCTACCTGCTGCAGGTGGGTGGGCTGAGGAAACTGCACCAAGGGCAAAGCCCCTACCAGTGGAGGGACAGGAGCTCACCTGCACCCTCTCTAAGAGGAAAAAGCATTAGAAAGAGGTTCATACCCAGGGGTGACTCGCTGAGAATGCTGTATCTAAGGGCCAGGGGCGTCAAGGTCCTTCTCCTGTCTTCGGCTCCACTCCCCTGCAGGAGACAGACAAAGAAAGGGCGCTTTGGCTCTCCGAACACCTCCTTCTTAGAGAAGATAGTGTGAGCCCTCATGTTGTGGAGGAGGGGAACGCAGCCCTGGGGCTGATGAACAGAAATCACTGCATGTCTCTGAGGCTCAACACAAAGAGTAGCAGAACAGGAAGATGTGATAGTGAAATGAAGCTGATGCCGCCCACACATGTTGTTCATAGTAACAATAAGAGCATACCCACTTAGCCCTCTCTGTGTGTGCGAGGCCCTGCTTAATGCCTGCAACAACCTATGATAGGTACTGTTATTGTTCCCATTTCACTGATGAGAAGCTGAGGTATAGAGAAGTTAAGCAATTTGCCTAAGGTGAATAAGTGGTGGAGCCAAGATTTGAACATAAAACTCAGTTTTTTTTTTGGATTACTTTCTGCTCAACAGACCCAGTTATGACCCTAGCCTAATGCTTAACAATGGGACCTGTTTGCTGTAGGCTGCAGAAGTCTCTTTTGAGAAAGAAAAGAAAAACTGAGGCATGGATGTATGAATGTGACCTTGTTTCTTTTGTAGTTGAACATGGGAGGCTAAAGATTAAAACAACAACCACCACAACGGTAAAACAACACCAACAGAAACATGGGGACACTCTGGAGACATCACTCCAACATCCCTAGCAGAGGTGGCAACCTGTGATGCTGACAGACATCTACAAGTGAACATACGTGGTCAAGACTCTTTGGCTGACCTAAAAAACCTGGGTGTTTGCAGTGGCTGCAGGCCCTAGCACCCTGGGAAGATAAGCAAGTCAATGAGAAAGAGGTTTGAAAACAGCTCTCCATGGCTGGTGACCTTGCGTGACTAGACACTCTCTCGGAAGCCTCAGAGGGAGAAATGAAGGAGGACACTCTGACCTTCACATCCTAGAGAGTCCAGGGTCCCCAGGTAAATAGTCCCACTTCTGCCTAACACTGACATTTATTCTTCATGTCACATGACTGAAGCTGAACTGAGCTTTGCAGACAGGGTCAGCGCGGGCTTTCCCTGCAGGTCACAAAGCAAAACAGCAGCACTGAGCTCTCTGCACCTCAGGAACTCAAAGGCAGCATCTCAGCAGGAAGAAGCCCTTTGGGAGCACGTGCCCTGGGGTCTGTTTGGGGGGCCTCTTAGGATACTGCACCTCTGGCCGAGGGTGCTTCCAAGTGACCACTCACCTTGGTGCAGGGAGGCATAATGATGGCCAGGTGGCACAGGATGTGCTGGGTGTCCTCATACTTCATTGCCTTGCGCAGGAATGACAAGAACCCACCTGGCTCCCGACTGCTGTCCCTCACCTAAAGTCAATCACACATAGGGAGACTCAGCAGGCCTTCTATGGCCTCCTGGCTGCTGCCTCCCAAATTTTGTAGACCCAGGGGAGAGGGTGGCCGGAGGAGGACAGCACCTTGACAGGGATGGCCAAACGGTTCTCCCGGAATGACTGGAAGTGGAAACTCCGCTGCTGGGCAGCTTTCTTGACGGGTACCAGGTTCCCGGAGAGCTCTGCAAACAGTGGCATTCCTTCCAGAACCTGTAGGAAAGAAAAGCAAACACGTCCTGCCTATAAGTTCCATCTTTCCTTTCCCCAAGTGAACCTTGCAACCATGCGCAGCACAGTGGGTGTGTTCCGAGAAACCCCACTGCCTGTTTTGGAAAAGGCTTCATTTCCAAGGTTCTGATGAACAAGGCATGCTCTCTCGCCCCAAAGAAAAGGAATAACAAATAGAAATCTTCACATGCTCCCAAGAACGTATCAGGATCATGCCCGACAAATCTAGAACTCCACAAAGACAGCCTGATACAGCTTTGAAAAAATCCTGCTCTGTTTTTACATCTGTCCAAAGATGCTTAGTTCATGAGAAGTGCTGGAAAAATCATGCTGTATTTTAATCCCACCTGTAATAACAATTCCTGCTATGTACCTAATGCTTTCATCTGAGACAATCTCATGAATGCGTTTGATAGTTGAGGAAATTGAGGCCAGAGAGAAAAACTGTTTTGCCCAGTGAGTGCCCACAATAGCATCAGAACCAGGATAAAGGAGTCCCAGTCTTGTGCTTTGGCATTGGAAGTCTTCCCCAGGAAGGCAAAGTTCAGATTTGTAGACCAGACCCTCAGAAAACTCCTGGCTTAATATGTGCCTTATCATCATAAGTGGATATCCTGGGAGGGGTAATAGGTTCAAATCTAGGTCCTCACATCATTTGTCCACCTGTCTCCCCTCCTGACCCATGGGCTACCAGACCCCAGCTAGCAGGCAGAAGTGTGGGCTATGGATCAGACAACTTGGAGAGATCCTACCTATATCACTGACCCCTTTGTATGACCTTGGGAAAGTTACTTACCCTTTCTCCCAGCCTCTATTTTCTAATATGTAAGTTAGGGACAGTGGTGAGAATTAAAACACATTATGCAAGTAAATAACCTTTAACGGCAGCAGGTTCATACAAATTTCAGTAAATGCCAACTTTTATCATCACAAGTCATAGGACCAACCATCTGCTATCTCCCTGAGATGAGCACAGTGGTGTCCTTTGGATTTCTGGTAGCTTATCTAAGATGCTTTTCAAGAGGGGGACTAAAGAAATATGGCTTTAGGGCCCTGCAATTCCAGAGAGAGGACTTCGGGCTGTCCTGGCCATCATGCTCCCAGAAGCCAGTGTAAGGGCCCTGCCTCCGGCTCTGGCACTTTGTCTCCTCATGAGAAGTGAGAAGGACCTTCAAGGGCCCAGTCACAAAGGAACCCAGGTGCCATACCTCTATGTCCCTGCTCCGAGCCACCTCCACAAAGTTCTCGTGCTGCTCAAGGGTCTTGTCCACCTTATCATCTGTCATGCAGTAGCAGCGTAGCCGCCCTTCCCGGGGGTCATTCATCTTGGCAAAAATGACAAACTTGGCCATGTAGGGCACTGCAGTAAGCTCTTTGTACAACAGGGTGGCAAAGTTCACAGCTTCAGCAGTCCGAGGACAGTCTGACAGCCAAAACCTAAGAAGACAGGGAGAGTTATGAGTATATTCCTGAATGCCCCATGGAGAACCCCATGGCCATACAGGCAACAGCAACCTGTGAACCACACAGCACTGACTACCTGGTAGTCAGGGGGTCCCTGTGTGGATGGGCAGCAAAGGAGCTCAAGCCTGGGTCAGCTTCCTGCAGTCACCATGCTGGGCCTCATCTCACCTGGCAGAGACGTTGGTGGTGAAGTTGGCGCACTCATTGGCATACACGAGCTTGGTTGTTCCTGTGATATCTTCCCACTGGGCTTGGTCGGTTCCACCTGCAACACCAGCAGAAGTGGGGCTGGGGACCCTTCCAGATGTAAACATGGAGCTTACTAAAGGACTAAGATCAGAGGTGGCACATCTGGGTGATGCCTGCTTGTTCTGCAGCAGAGCACACCTGTTCTTTTGTACTCTTCTCCTCATCCTAGAATCCTGCAGCTCCCCTCCTCCTAGGGCTCGGAGGGCTCTTCCCAGCATGTGGACTTTTACACAGGTATGCTGTCTCTCTCTCAGTCCAGGGAAGCCAACAGAACCAAGGTGGCTGCTGGCTTCACCTTCTCCTGTCCCTACAGTGTATTCCCAAAGGAGCTGTTGCCACAGAGGACGCAGAATGGAGGCCAGGGCCCTACTCACCAATGACACTGCACAGCAGGCGCAGGCTAGTGGTGTCTCCCTCCCCGCTGTCCCTTGGGTTGTCTGTCCATGAGGGTGGGAGTGGGATCCGAAGCCCGATGGGACGGTGGAACTTCCGGCGCCTTGGCTCCACTGTGACAATGGGGCTGAATGTTGCCTGGTTGCCCAGAAGCTTGGTGACCAGCTCATCAGGGACAGGTTGAGCCTGTAAAGTGCCAAAGGCAAGATTCTTAGCCCAAAGCAGGATGGGGTGGCCAGGTGCCCGCTCCTGAAGACCAGCCCGTTCACTTTACTTAGCACAGGGCCCACCCGGGGGCTGAGGCCACTGCTCAACTCTTCATGAGCCCTTTCTCCCCCTGCCTCCTGTTCTGAGGATAGAAGGCCTTCGCTCAGACTGTGGCCTGCTCCTGGCTGCCTCATGGACTCCCTCCTGCGGAGCACAACATGCAGTTTAAGGAGCAATGTGGGGTTTCCTATATCTTCATGCTACATCCCTCCCCACCTGACTTTCTTCTGAGCTTTCAGGTCAGAGCTCTCCTGCAGCCTCCTAAGGCCCTGGACAGACAGGTGGGGACAGCCTGGGCAGAGGGTGGGCTTGTCTAGGCCTTTGAGCTCCTGTTGCCACCAGGACTGGCAAGAAGGGCTGCATCACCTGCAGGGCCAGCTTCACTTTCTTGGTGACAGCATTTTCTGGGAACGTCGCCTGCACCAGGGGCACCAGTTTGCTCTTCAGAGAGCCCCCTTCGGGACCGATGGTGTCACAGTCTTGGCAGAGCCGTGACATGATCACGAAGTACAAGGGGAAGTCGGTGGTGATGATGCGACAGACCCTCTTCTTTTCCAGCTCCTCTAGGCTGCCCAGCTCTGGAATCACATGCAGGGGCTACCCACCTGGTCATGCTGAGCTCAGGCTCAGCATGACTGTGGCCCTAGAGATTCCCCATCTCTGCAACACATGGTCTCCCTAGGGGCCTGGATGACAGGTGACTTGGAGGGTCACTTCTCTGGAGGGAGAAGTTCCTAGGCCCAGAGGCCCAATACAAGAGGCATTGGGCTGGGGACCCATCTTGGGGCATGTCCTGGGGATCCAGAACTTTAGCATGTGGGGCCATTTTTGGCCTTTCAGACAGCCCCAAGAGCCCACCCTAAACATGCAACCTCAGATCCCATCTTCCAGAAGAGGGGCACTGCTCTGGGGTTGCAGGCCTCCTTACCTTCGTCCATTCCATTGAGGATCTGGTCCAGGTAGCTTTCTCCATAGCGGCTCTTGTGTTCCTTCCACACAGAGCCATTTTCACTCCTCAGAACTACAAGCTCGCGGTCCCCACGGCCATGGGAGGCAAAGTGGGGGATCTCCACAATCACAGGGCTGAGGCAGGACAGAGTAGATGGCAAGAGGTTGCTTCCTGTGTGGGCAGGTGGCCAGGGGCACGGGGAGGGAAGGGGTAGTTGGCCCTGCCTGGAGGGAGAAGGGGTTCCCAGCTGCTGCAGAAGCCCCACCTGCGGGTGGGTCTCCAGAGGGAAACGGACCTGGCCTGGGCTCCTGAGGCTCCTCTTCAGGTCTGGAGTGATGGGGATGGGGTAAGGGGTAGGGGTTGGCAGCTCTCCTGTCCTGGGTATGCAGCTGGGACTCAGCCAAATGATTCCGCCCTTGGGCCCGGTTCTAAGAGCCCATCTGATTCCCCTAGACAGGTGACCTGATCTCTTTGAGCCTGTGTCCTTACTTACAAATGGCCACAGTGCCATTCCTTTGGAGGAAGTCTTTGAGGACTACATCTAAAGGGGGAAATCAATAAAAAAGCATGCTGCAGGATGCTTTTCAAATGGCATCTTATGGGTGACAGAAGGGAAGGGCCTGTGCTGACACTACCCTCACAGTGCCTCTAAGGGCTCCCATTCTCTCCAGAGAAGGTAAGGTCTGGGCCCCTGCAGTCCATTAATCTTGTGATCCTTGGGGGCTACCCTACAGTGTGACCAAAGTGTATACACTTTGGTGTGTACAAACTAAACCCTGGGCCCCAAAAGTAGCCAATCTTCTGCATTCCCTTCTCTAGAGCCCCAGGAAGTTCTGAGAGCAGTAAGCTCTGTGGGGCTACAAACAACTCAGTGGACCTGAGAGAGGGCCAGCCAGGGGAGGCAGGCTCATGGGTCTGTTTCTCTGTCATGACAGCAGGAAGTAAGCTCCCAGGATTCTGCCTGGGTTGGGTGGCTCTGAGTGGTCTCTGTTGAGGTACAGTAAGGAAAGCAGTGCAGGAAAAGACTGGGAAAGTACCTGCCTGCGAGGACGCCATCTCACCTCAGGAACTGGGCCCCCGCGGGTCCCAGTGCAATGATCCTGCTGGCCAACCCCTCCTCCTCAGCCAGTGGGGGTGGTGTGCTCAGCTTCTGGGGCTTGACCAAGCGGCAGGTGATACGTGTGGGTGCTGCACAGGTCCGCGGTGGGATCACCACCCTCAGGCCATTGTGCCGACTGCCTCTCATGGAGCCTCCCCGGGCATCGACCATGAAGCTCACCAGAAACCTGGAAGCATGACAGATCCATGTGGGGCACCCATCCGCCTCTCAGAGGTAAAGAGCAGGGTCCCAGAGTCCTGCATCACTCACCCTGTGTGGACAGGGCTGGCCACTGGGCTGATGTTGTCTGAGGTCTCCGTGGCTGGGCTGCTGGGGATGAGCGAGTCTTCATCATACTCTTTGGATGCCTGAGACAGAGATAAAGGCTTTCTGTCTCTTGTTTCACCACCCCTCGGGCCACTTGAACATTGTACCAGGCCCAGGGGCTCAGGTAGCCTCAAGGAGAAAACACTTCCACATTCTAACTCCTGACCATCATGAGACAAAGGAGTCCCTGGAGTCTCTAAAGAAATAGCTCCCTCCCCTTTCAGGGTTTCTCTTTGGCTCCAGCCCTTTGGCAAAGCATGGGACGATAGAGCAAGTTCTTGCTCTGCTGTCTGGTTCCAGGTCTCCTGCACTCTGTGCACACTGCCCACCTGCTCACCTTCTCTCCCATCAGGCCCCATAGGGAAGCTCTACTCTAGAAGACTGTTTTTTTGTTCTGGAGTTGGTGTTATACTCCACAATGTCACCTCCTAGCTATCTACCTTGTAGATGTCCAGGGTCTACAAGGTGCACCCACCAGGTCCTGTGAGGCTCTCCACATCTGTGGAAGCCACAGGACTTATGACAGCCAGACAGTTTGCCTCTGGCCTGTGGTGCCCTCCAGCTTAGGGGTACATGTTATATGCATACATCTCATGAGGACAGCCCCTCACTTCAGAATCTAGGTCCCACAAGGCTCCACCCTGCTTTCACATGCTTTCCCCCTGGTCCAGAACATTCTGGTCCCTGTCCTCCTCTATAGTCCTACTCATTTTCATGTCTCACTTCCTCCATGAAGACTTCCTGTCTCCTGGCTCTAGTGTCCCTTCTCTGCACCTTAGAAGGAATCACACTGCCCATTGGATTACCTCACTGTGCCATATGCCTGTACAGTATGCTACCTCATGTCACATGCCTGTGTCCACACTTCCCAGAGAACAGCAGCTCCTAGGAGGCCACTGTCACAGTGCTATATGGTCCAGCCTCACACAGCTGCTTAGAAGGAATGCAGTTCACACGTCTGACCTGACTTTATGACTTAAGCAAAGAGATGGAGAGAGGTGCTGAGGATGTGGCTCAGTGGCAGAGCACATGCTTAGCATTTGCAAGGCTTGGGTTCCATCCCCAGCACACACACCCCACCCCCTAAAAAATTGAAGATAATGGGCTGGTAAGGGAAGCACCTGACCCAGGTCAACCCTGTTGGTTCCCATTGCTCGCTTTGGCAGTATTCAGGGAATATGCCACAGCAGTATTAGGGCCATATATGACCATCTCTCTCAAATGCCATATCGTGGCACCAATGTTGCATCATTATGACACACCCTGGCATGGGAGTTCTTGAGTCCAGAACTCTGGCTGCTGCTTTTTGACACACACCCCTTAGAGCGCACAGGAAGAAGTCAGCCTTAGTGAGAAAACAGTCATGCTTGGCTGTCAGGCCTCTGAACAGAGATCTCCAACCTTCAAACACCTTACCACTTTCTTTTCTCCCTAGGAAATTCCCTTGCTCTGGAAAGAAGTGCCAATGACAGAAGATCAAATGAATGGAAATGAAATTGTTTTAAGCCATTCCTTTGCCCCATCCCTACTTTTCAGGGCAAATTTAGTGACATGCTGGGAAACAACAAGCCAGGGTATGGGAACAGCTCTCGTACATTCCTTCTGTCTGTACTCCTAGCATTCCCTTCAGGATGGTAAGGGGAAGTGGAAGCTGTCTCTTTTTATGGATGCAGAAGAGAAGGAGCCAAGAGCTTTGTTGTGTGCACGGACTACACCCTGCTTGCCACAAGGAGAGTTTCCAACCTGGCCCATGACCCATCACCCCACAAGTGCAGAGTGCATAGAGGTTGTAGATACGAACATGGGACCCAGAACTGAGGGTGTTAGGCCTCAGCTTCACACCTCTCTGGACTCTCATCCCATTTCACACACCCTGAGCTTGTTAAGACCTATGGCTCATGTCTGGGATAAGGAGAACACCAGCAACACAAGGCTCCACAGGACACGTGGAGCCATGGATCTGAACATACTGTGTGAGTGCACACGTTTTTCAACACTAGCTCCTGTTGTCCTACAGTCATCTCAAAACAGTCACTGTCCTGGGGTAATGTGTTCAAACTCTGCAATGGAAAAATAAGAGAAAAGGTGCTTCCTACCTGCTCCTGATCCTCAGATCGGATCACCACTGTCTCAGGTGTGACACAAGGAATCCTCGGGATGGCTGGAGATTCTACCCTGTGTGCCAGGAACATTGGAAAATCAAAGGACAGATCCTTCAAAGTGGCCCACTCTCCGACCCAGGAAACCTAAGCAAAAGGCCTCCATACCCCTCTAATGACCTGTTCCCTCATCTGCTCTCCCCAGCCTCTTCCCTGTACCCTGAAACTTCTCCCTCCCTTGTGCCTCTTCAGGGCCAGCTGTCCCTCTCACTTTGCTGAAAGGTCTGCCAACTCTATGAGCCTCCCCAACAGCCCCAGTCTACACTTGCCAGCTCTTGCTGCCATTGTGCAGCCTTGGTCACCTGGCCTTAATGGTAAGCTTTTGCACTCTGATCACTGGCATGGGTTTTGATCCCACCAAATGAGCCTTCAGGTTCTTCACAGTCAAGGCTAGGTTCTGTATTTCTTTCTAACATAGTAAATTTTTATTGATTGAATATTCTTGTAGTTTTCCCTTCCTGCTTTCCACTGCCCAGTTTTGTATAAGCCAGGAAACACTTCTGTCTTTTCAGAAAACCTCCAGGGCTCAGTGTTTCTAAAAAGTGACCAGTTTTAAGTTATCTTCAAAACATCCCTGTGTGCAAATGCTACCCAGTTGTGTAACTCACAGCAGTCAGAGGGAGGAGTGAGAAACAGGTTCCAGGCGGACAACTAACGTACCTCATCAATGGAGGGACACTGTTGTCAACATCTGGTAATAGCTGGCAAGTTTCTAGTGTGAACCTTCCTCCAGGGATTATTCTGGTGAAAGGCTGAGTGTGAGTGAGCAGGGGAGGGGTGTGAAGGTGAGTTGTAAGTGAGGGGTAAAAATGTTGGAACACAGGAAGAGACACATTCAGTGCAATGTGAGGGAGGCCTCCACATGCTCCTGACAGTCAAGATGCAGAGCATCATCCTCCATGCTAGGACCACAGCCTGACCTGCCATTCCTCCTGACCTTCTCATGACTTCTCCTCAACCTGTAATACTACTCTGAGCTCCACAGCTGCACCCGGCCATCCACAGAGTGATCCACCACTGAGCCCTGGCCATCCAGTGTGATCTGCCAGCCAGCTGACCACAGTGTGATTGGCCTCCCGGTCCCCCAAAATGAGCCCTGAGCGTCCAGGGCATGATACCCTATCGAGCCCGTCTTACACTTGGTCGAGCTTCGGCACAAAGTCCAATAGCTCCTTCTCTTCATCCACATCTCTGGAATCCTGCCTCTCAGCCTTGGAGCCAGCAAGTTCTTCCCCTGAAACAACATGACCTTAAGTGAGTGACAGTTTTTCTCCTTCTTCTTAAAAGTGCTTTTCCTGGTCTGCCTCTCATACTTGCTCCTGAGGAGTAGAGGTATGGCTCTGATGCTCCAAGAGGACCATTAGCATGGCTGTGTCTGGTCCTGTTCCTGCAGCTCTGGTGTACAGAGCAGGGTGGCTGCTCCTAACCTCTTAGTCTGTTCCAGGCTGTGTAGGAGGGAAAACAATACAGCCAAAAAAAAAACTTCCTCAGCTTGACAAGTTCCCACTGCAAAACTGCCCCTTTGGGATGTGCAATGGCCATAAAAAGAGTGCTTACTGTTCTTTTCCACTCTGAGGCTACTACAGAAGAATAAATTGTACTGGAATAGAACCTGCTCATTTTAAAGAACTATGGCATTTTTGTAATCATGGTCATTGATACCGCATTATTTCCATTATTATTTCTATTGCCTCAGTAATTATTATTGTGGAATTATTATCTGCAATTCCAAAGCTCATTACACAGAGGTTCAAGCTACCAGTGAATTAGCTACAGGCACCCCCAGTCTGCCTGTTGCTCTCTCCTTGCCTGACCTGGAGCTGCAGCCTGGGCCCTCACCCTGTCTTTGAGTGTTACTCAGCAGTGGGAGTCCTGGCCTTGTGATCTGGAGCTGACAGGATGAAATCACAACTGCTCATGCAGGATGACCACAAGCATGGTGGCATGGCACAGACACACAGGTGTACAGGCAGGAGCTGCCCGTTGGCCATGGAGCTCCTGTCAGTCAGGCTGTGGGCTTGGATGCTGAGGCATGAGAGGATGGAGAGCAGGAATGGGCTAATGAGAACTCGGGGTATGAGGGTGAAATGCACTTGGTAAGAAATAACCATGGGAACACAAAGTAGGGTTTCATACCCATTAGAGTTAAGTGAGCAGTTCCTAGAAAGCAAAGAAAAGCCAAGTTGAAGGAAGGGCAACATCAAAATCAGTTATAATGAGAGGTGCATTGTCAAAGGGCGCACAACACACAAAGAAAGCTTTACTCAGCGAGCTGGCAGAGTCACGCAGCCATTGAATTACAGATGGGAAGGGCTGAGGAGAAAACCTCATCCAACCCTGCTGTTTGGCATCATAAGGGTTCTCTCAAACCTGAGGGAGTAAATACTGCTTCTTGGGGGAAGGAATAATGTGAAAACACTCCGTAGTTCATAAAACTGAAACCGCAGTAGCTTCATAGTAAAGCATAAGGCCCAGAACCTATATCATGTGGTCAGAAGAGCAGCTGATTAAAATGTGTTCCCACTGATTTTAAATAATCTGCCTGTCATTTGTTTAAATTCAAGTAAAGCAGCAGGGGGAACATTATTACAGCTTCACAGAGCTCTGAGAGTTGATCTGGTCGATCCACATTCGATCACATGTGCATTAACACATCATAGATGCAAACATACGTGTACATACAGATCTTGTGAGATTTAAAATTTGAATTTGAATTGTTAAAATGTCAATTTTCCTTTGCCTAAGATTATTTGAAAGTTCCTTCCTTCCTTCCTTCCTCCCTCCCTCCATCCCTCCCTTTCCTCCCTCCTTCCTTCCTCCCTCCCTTACTCTCTCTCTCTTTCCTTTTTGTTTTTGGTGGTAATGGGGTTTGAACTCAGGGCTTTGTGCTTGCTCGACAGGTTTTATGTTTTGCACCCCAGGTGTGCTGCAGGGGGCCCTGAGTGCAGCCTGGTAGGGGGCTGGAAGCCATTCAGGATGCATGGAACCCCCCCACCCCCCGGTCTTTATCAATCTAAGTTCACCACTTAGACTTTACCTTCATCTTCAGAGACATCCAGGATCTCATCCACCGTCTCGGGGTAACTCATCCGGTGCTTGTCACTGACTAACTAAAACAAGAAAGGCAGAGGCTTCAACCCCATGGGTCAGGCACTTTTCTCTCCAGCTCAGTGGTTACCTGGTCACCATGAGGAGGTGAGAAAGGTGTGTCCCAAACAAAGAAAACCACACCTAGGAGGCTCTTTGGCCTGGAAGCTGATAGCTGGCAGGCACTCCCGGCAGGATAAAGGGGTAATGGGAGACCCTTTGACATTGCCTTGTGTCAGCCCTTTCCCATCTCCCATTCTCCTGCTACTGCTCCCTTAGATCTACTCATTGCAGCCCCAATTCCTTAATCCACTAGGTGGCAGTACAGCCCCACTGGAAGCAGAAGGCCACTCTGCTACCCTTTGCACTGTGCTTCTCACTAGGTTTAGGTCCTGGTTTTCAGAGTGACCCCACAAACCCCTTTGTCAGCTGTGCATGTGGTGGGGTGCGCATGGGAGGAACAGACATACCACTATGCTGGTTTCATCTGTGACAACCTTGAGCACATCTGTGACGGAAATGTAGCCCAAACGCTTGGCTATTGCCAGAGGTGTGGTTCCATTCTAGGACAAACAGTAGCAAGGGAGTACAATCAGGAAAGGGTACAAATCACGGAGGAGTCTGCTCCTTGGTATGCAGATGCAGACCAAGTTCACCTCTGTGCTTTGAGAACGACCTAAGCACACAAACTTGGCTTTGGAGCCAAGATCTGTGCACAAATTTGTGAGTCTTGATTCCCACAAAGATGAGGAAGGAAGGAAAGGGGCAGGGATACTAAGTGTGGGGTCTTGAAGTGAGGGTAAAGGAGAACTCTCCAAGGCTAGGCAAACACCATCAGGAGCTAACTCACTGGAAGAAGCAGGTCAGGAAGTCACCATGTATGGGTCTAGGAGTAGGAGGGTACTTAGTGACACTGCTCACTGCTCTAAAGTCTATTCCTTGGGTGTCAGTAATTGAGCATTACTGTCATTAAAATAATCCCTATAACTAAGCAGGCCCATGAGAACTCACAAATCACTAGAAATAGGAAAGGGGCATATTTTCCACTTTGATTTTAAGAGAAAGAACTAGGTAAAAAAATCAATCAATATTGAGGCTTTATTTCTCTGCTTCCAGATGTGCCCCATCAGCTCCATTTGCAGTTACAACTTCAGCACCCTTATCTACACTCAATGTCCACACTCCTTCAGAGAGAGCAGCCATGGAGATAATCTAACAAAACCACCAAAAGAGGAAGTTCCTCCTGGACCATGTTCACTGAGGCTGATGAGGACATCCCCAAGGCCCTGAAAGACTGGGAACACCCAGGCATTTAATTTTGTCCACGTGGGCCATACTGAAAGCAGCTGGTTGCAATGGCTCACACCTATGATCCCAGCAACTCAGAAGGCAGACATAGGAGGATAGAGATCCAAGGCCAGCCCAGGCAATGACTGAGAGAACCTAACTGAAAAATACACTAAAAGCCTAACAAGTTTGAGTCACTGAGCTCATTTCCCAGTATCACTCACACAAAAACACTACTTAAACAAAAACTTAAGTGGGGGAGGGGAAATGGTGCTTAAAAGGACAATCTTCAGTCACCAGGAAGAGAAACTGGTTGCAACCCCCAGCCCCTGGGTACCAAGGCAGCTGGGACATTCTGGCATGCAGGGCCATCCAGGCCCAGAGTGTACGCTAACCTCCGTGGTGAGGGATGTTTCCTTTTAAAATCAGTCCAGGTGAGAACTCACCGAGCTGACCTCGTTTGGAGAAGCGCCATTCTTCAGCAGTAGAGTCACGATGTCTGTGTGTCCTTGCTGAGCGGCCTGGTGCAAGGGGCTGTATCCTAGCTATAAAGTTAGGCAGACATTCAACAGGATCAGCCAGCTATTAAAGAACTGTCCACATACTGCAGAACCTGTTTGTCTTCTACAGACATGCATTTTTCCCATTTCCTCCTCAAAGCTTAAAATTGGCAGAGCCCCAAGAGTGCTCAGAGTAGCTCTGGCTGCACCTTAATTGAGCACTTAGGAAGTGTCAGCATAGAAGTCGGCCTAAGGCGCCCTGTACCTTGGTCTTGGCATTGACATCGGCCTGGTGTTGCAGCAGAAATTTCACCAGCTTGATATTTCCATAATGACTGGCCACGTGGAGTGGGGTATAACCCATCTGAAAAGCAAGGGATGAGTGTGGGGGGCCAGCCGGACACCTGGGCAGACTGAGAGCCACCATGAGCTATGTGTGTAAGGAAGCCCTTAACAGGAAGAGCAGCTGGTTAAGACAGGGTAGCCAGGAAGATCTTGAAAGGCCAATAGCTGCTGGAAGTTGTGCTGCTGTCACCAGTCAACCCACTGGCCTGGGAAGGAGCAGAGGTCAGTGTCCAGAAAATTGAAGATCAAGATGTTGGTGAGACATCAAGTAGTGATGTCAGGTAGGCAACAGGAAGCTGACATGAGCCCTGGGAAGAGGGCCAGGCAGGGAGCCACGGTCAGCAAAGGAGCTGGAAGCCCTGCAGGTGAAGGAGGGCTGACATGGGTGAAAAGAGAACAGATAAATGGACAGCAGCAGCACTTAATCAGAAGGGAGATGGAGGAATCCAGAGAGGACCATGTGCCAGGAACCAAGATGGGTTATTTCAAGGAGGAGAGAATGGTGATCAGGCCCTCTGTTGAGCAAGGCGCTAGAACAGATGGCCACGTGGACTGCACTGACCCTGACGACACCAGAAGATGAAGCCCCATTGTACAGCTTCTCAAGGCTGTCTGGTTCCTTAGTAGTAAAGGAATTTATAGGAACTATTGCCTGAAATGAGTGGCATGGCTATTTATTCACATGAGTGTATGAAGGAGCTCATTTCCAAAGTCTCCAGATTTTTTTTTCCCTCTTTTGTGCTAGGAATGGAACCCAGGGACTTCTGCATGTTGGCAGGTGCTTCACCACTGAGCCACTGGAGCCCACAATGAGTGTTTTGGAGCTGTCCCCAAAGGGCCAACAAGTCATGCCCTCTGAGCTCTTTGGTCCTAATGTTCCCTGAGAGCTGGAGCCAGACACAGAGACCATCTTAATGTAGACCTTTCGGGCTAGGCCCTCATGCAACGGGATGGCTTTGGGATCCTTGAGGTTCTAACCCAAGGGTTACAGTCTGAATCCACGAGAAGTCCCAAAGATCCAGAACCTTCCCGGGTTTTAAATAGGTTCTTGTCAGAGCTGCAGGCATTTGGGGAGTAAAAACTGGTCCTAGGATTTTCCTGGGGTGACTTCAGCACAATATTATTGTCGTTGCTCCTGTGGAACTCTAGGATGTGTCATTCTGTCCTTTTTAACATGTTGCCTTGTGACAAAAGAAGTAAAATGGGGCCAGGTGGTATATGTCTGTAATCCTGGCTACTCAGGAGCTGGAGGTAAGAGGATCACAGTCTAAGGCCAACCTAGGCAAAAGTGCAAGACCCTATCTCAAAACCAACTAACTGGGCTCCAGTGGCTCATGCCTGTAATCCTTGCTATAAAGGCCGTTGAGATCAGGACAGAGGTTCAAGGCCAGTTCAGGCAAAAAGTTTGTGAGACCTCATCTCAACCAGTAGCAGGGATGGTTGTACTTGCCTATTATCCCAGCTATGGTAGGAAGCACAAAATAGGAGAATCACAGCCAGTCAAGCCCAGCAGAAAGTGAGACCCTATCTCCAAAACATACCCAGAGCCAAAAGGGCTAGAAGTGTGGCTCAAAGTGGTAAAGCACCTGCCTAGTAAGCACAAAGCCCTAAGTTCAAAACCCTAGTACCATAAAAAAAAAAAACTAACTAAAAGCAAAAGTGTTGGGGGCATGGCTTGAGGGTTAAGCATGAAGTCCTAACTTCAATCTTCAGTACTGCACACACACACACACACACACACACACACACACACACACACAAGGAGCAAAAAACCAAAATATTCTTCTTTCAGGAAGCTCCTTCTTCCTATCAACTTGAGTCTCCCAGTCCTCCCCCTGGGCTGCGGGTGCTCTCTCACCAGATGCCACATTTGGTGACTCCTCCTTGTCCCTCATGGTCACCTCTATCCCAAACTGCAAACCGCAGTGCACAGCCTCTACCATGTGCATCACACACAGTCATCCTCCCACCACCTCATAGGGCTTCTTAGCCAGAGAGGTTCAGAGGCAGTTAAACTGAAGTCAACAAATGCTGAATAAAAGCAGCTGTACTTCTGAGCAACTCCAGGGAAGCTTGGCACCCTGACAGGCATCTCCTGAGATAGGGCTCAGCACTATGATTGAACATTCCTCTCAAGTTCTTGTGATAGAGGCTCAAAGGCCTAGACAACTTTAAAATTCCAACTAGAAAGTGAGGTCACAGGGATTAGTGTCCTCCACTCCACAGCCAGCCCCAGGAAGTGGCAGAGAAGAAAGTCCCATGACAGTGGAGTAGGCAGGCGGGGAGGGGAGGGGAGACCGTGTGGACACAAGCATGGGACTGCCGGCCTTACCCGGGTGGTGGCGTCCACGGCAACACCGTGTTTTATCAGCACGTCTGCCACTGGAACGTGGCCTTCTTGTGCTACCAGGTGGAGAGGAGTGAGTCCACTCTGAAAAGAGAAAGACGTTGGTCATCTTCAAGCCAGGAAAACATTCCAGGCTACAGTGACAGAGCACTGAGGACTGGGAGCACAGCCTGGCTTTGCAGCCCCTAACCCACTCTCTGACCAGCTATCTGGCAAAACTTTTCTGGTTCTGGTCCTCAGGATCCTTACCTGAAAAGTAAGATAAAGCTAAACTAGATCCGGGTTGTCAGCGTTTACTGTTAAGGACCAGATCATCAATATTTTAGACCCTGCAACAAGTCTCCAACTCTACTGGTTGTGGTAACAGAGTAGCTCTGACCAACATGGAAATGAATGGACATGGCATGTTCCAATAAAGCTTTATTTACACAAACAAGCAGTAGACTGGATTTAGTTCACATGTCATAGATGAACTTTATGGTACCTTCCAATTATAGCATTTGCTATTCCCCTGGTAAACTTCAGAGCCTGGGCTTTCTATTCTGGAAAATAGGGGCTATCACTGGCTTAGCTCCATGGCAAAGTGAGGAGCATTTGAGAAAGCACAGCTCATAAGAAATCATGTTGAAAAGCACAACGTGCCTTTTAGATGTACAGTGTTATTACCACCTCACAGCCACTGCAGCACGATGTTAGGGGAGGGTCCTTTGGCATGCTTAGACTTCTTATCTCTGTATTCTCACAAGGGTAACAGCATATCAGAAGTCATGTTCGCTATGTAGGCACTCACACAAAAGTGTGGGGAAAATCATCTTCCCCTGAACCTTAACTCCATACGTTCTGCTGACAGTAGGAAGCACAGCTCTGATCCCTCACACACACAGGTGGTGGCCCTGGCCCCACCACAGTGATTCCCCTTGCCATCCTCCATTTTCTACACTTCCCAAGTCTGGCCAGAGGCCCCTAGGCAGCAGCTCCCTCAGCTGCATGAAGACTGATGTCACCATGTCTACCATCAGCCCAGGCAGGTACCTTGCCCAGCTCTTGGGATAACACCAAGACTTTGCCTGGTGAGGCTGGTGTGTGGGTAAGACAGTACGTTTCTAGAACAAAGACTCGTAATCTTCATGACTGTTGCCTTACACAGATTGTTTAAAATAAGAGCCAATAATCTAATGGTTTTAAGAAATCTTAAAGTTACCCTTAAAATGTTTGCCTTTCTCACTGGGAGTTGCCTGTCCAAACCCGCACAGTAAGAGCCAATAATCTAATGGTTTTTAAGAAATCTTAAAGTTACCCTTAAAATGTTTGCCTTTCTGGAACTGTTATGCTAATTTATCATCTAGAAACAGGGTCTGTATATTGTATGATTTTGTTTACACAAAACATCACAGTAAGAGCCAAT